CACCATACAAGTACATTGATAATTATGGAACAACCAAAGATAGAAACGATACTGTTTTCCTTCAAAAGAAAATATTACTGTATATGCCAAGAATTTAACAAGTTTTAAAAGTTCTTAAATTTAACTGATATTGAGTGAATGCAAAAGATAATTATGTGCTTTTTAATGATTTACCACAATTTCAGAAAAGCTCTGAATGTAATATATTATTATTTTAAAATTTTTATAAAAATATTTTTATTTTATGTAAGAGTGTATTGTCTGCATGTATGTGATTGCACCTGTGTGGTGCAATGCCTCGGAGGTCAGAAGAGGGCTTTGGATTCCCCAGGAATTGGAGTTAAGGACAGTTTGTAGCCACCAAGTGGGTGCTGGGAATCGAACCCCAGTCCTCTGCAAGAGCAGTCAGTGCTCTTAACTGCTGAGCCATCTCTCCAGCCCCTATTCTTTTTTAAAAAAAAATAATTTATTGGGTGTTTCATACAGGGATATAAGCATATGTTGTTTTGCTCACATCCATGCCCACTCCCTCCCCTCCAACTCCTTCCACATCTCCCCATCACTTTTTTCTGATAACTTCATATATTCTTTCCTCCTCCTCCTCCTCCTCCTCCTCCTCCTCCTTCTTCTTCTTCTTTTTTTTACGGGGTTTTGGCTACTCTAACATTCCCCCCTCTGAAGAGGTAACCCTAAATTTTTTTAAGGATTAGATAAGAGCTCCCAAACGCTTTTGACATTTTTGGCCTTTGGAATGGAGTATGTTGCTAAGAGGCCCGAGGACATTTTGATTTGTAGCCAAGAAGCTACTTTTCTTTGGGGTCTTTTTACCCTAACTACCTAGCCAATTCCTACCTCCTATTCTTATCACACCATCCTCTGAAGCGGTTACTCAGCCTTCAGATAGGGAATCGGGCCGCAGACCGCTCTGGCTTCTTCGATGCTGAACAGGGATGCAGGATGAGGCAATTGGGGTACTCCTTCAGTGGGTCTATCTAAAAGACTCCCAAACTGCATAACTCTTATTACCACATGGAGGCAGGATCTGGGCCCTTTCAGGCAGTCCCCTGCATTCTCAGCCCCTATGCTAGAGGGAGACCAGAAATGAGCACTCTGTGACTGTCTGCTGAGATTACAGCCACTACAGATGGAGGTCAGAACCCACCCTCTCAGGCTGTCTGCTAAGATCTCAGCCTTATCCTACCTTCTGTTCTTTTTTAAAGACAGGGTCTCAATGTGGCACCCCAGCTGGCATGGAACTTACTATGTAGACCAGGCTGGCCTCAAACTTAACAGAGACCTGCCTGCTTTTGCCTCCTGAGTGCTGGGATTAAAGGCATAGGCCACCACACCAGCCTTATTGTAATATTTAAAAAATTGATTCATGTTGTAGCATATATTGGTACTTTCTTCCTCATGTATGCGTGTGGTGTGCATGTGTGTATGCATGTTTGTATATGTAAGGGCATGTGTACCTTTCATTAAGGTACTTGAACCCAGACCTTACCAATTCAGTTAATCTATTATCTTTGCCTTCTGGGCTACCGTACCCACCCAGCATTTATGTGGGCTCTGAGGTTCCAAACTCTAGTCTTCAGTGGGCGCTTTAACCACTGAAACATCTCTTCAGCCCCCTGAATCCATATTTTATTCTTTTTCATGACTGTTACATAGATAAATCACATTTTGTTTCATTCACTGATGGGCATTTTGGTTATTTTAATTTTTTGGTTTTTGTTTGTCTTTTTGAGGCAGGGATTTCTTGTAGCCCCAGCTGGCTTGGAACTCACTATGTAGACCTGGTTGGTCATGAACTCACAGAGATCCACCTGCCTCTGCCTCCCCTCCCGAGTGCTGGGACTAAAGTCGTGTGCCACCACATCTGGCCCAGTTTTTTGGTATTCTTAACAGTGCTCCCAAGAACATGACTGTTCAAGTATTTGCCTGAATACTTTTCCTAGTTCTTTGGGGTCTATACTTAGGAGTTGAACTGCTGGGGCATGTGGCAATTCTATGTTTAGCTTTTTGCAGAACTGCTAAATTGATTCACTTTTTTTTTTTTTTTTTTCGTCTTTTTGAGACAGGGTCTCCCTGTAGCTCCAGTTGTCCTGGAACTCACTATGTAGACCAAGCTGGCCTTGAACTCACAGGGATCCGCCTGCCTCTGCTTCCCAAGTGCTGGGATTAAAGGCATGCGCCAGCACACTGGCCAAAATTGATTCACTTTTATGCTTACATTTACAAAGTATGTTGGTCACTAGTTAGAAGCAGTAGCTAAAGCCCAAGCTGGGCCTAAAAAGTTTCTTTTTCAGAAACCCTGATTAGAAAAGCCAGGCTCAACCTGAACCAAACTGGTTCCAAGGCAAGGTTCCACTCAGGGCTTTTAACAGCTTCTCGGCTGTTCCACGTGTCCCAACATGATCCAGCCAGGCAGGAATCCCTTCCTGCCTCCCAGGCATCCTTCCTTTCCATTATTCTGTGCACACTTCAGGAAAATGAAGAACTTAGTCTAACACATAGACTTATACACTTCCCTCCTCTGTGTTTATTGAAGAGTTCAGATTCATGCTAGGGTTTTTTTTTTGCAGGGGGGGGGGTATGTCCAGAGGGTCACTGGGTCACTGAGACATGTTCCTGGGAAGTAAAGTTTATTAGAAGAGTTATGAATATCTTGGACAGACAGACAGGCCTAGAATGCCTGTCAGTATCTGTAAGAGGAGGCTCCTGCAGAGATTGTGGCCTGATCAGAGACTGGATTCTAACACTACATTCTTAGAATTAGCACCTGGAGTCAACCTACAAACAGGGGCTTTGTACTATTTGCTGTCTTGGGCAGAGACTAGTCCCTTCGTGGCTCAAGAACAGCATCTTCCTAACACTGGTTGAGTCTTAGAGGTCTTCCATTCACAGCAGACTCTTGCTAACACTTGGTGGTCCAGTGAACCTGACCCTAGCAACCGACAGATGCTGGCGGTGAGCCCAGCCCACTTTGTAGACTGCACACTTCTCAGGCTCAACTAGTGCAGCAGGAGATAGTCCCACCACAGGAATTGTTTACTGCAGCCAATATACTGAGTCAGAGCTTCTCAGTCACCAATCCCACCGATTCACTGATTTAGCACTGGTTTTTAAACTCGTGCATAAGCCTTTTATAGTGCTGACCTCTTACCCCAGCTCTCTAACAGGAACTTTCTGAGTCCAGCAGCCCAAATGAAGAAGCTGTATGTTGAGACAAAACCAAACAGGCATCAACAGCCTTTTCCATCTGAAACTAAATACTAAGCATGAAGAAATTCACTGCTGAGGACCTTGCTACATAGTCACTCTGCCAACCCAAGTGTCACTTGTCACTTGTCTTCAGGAGTCTTTTCAGGTGTCCTGGCCCGAAGCTGAGCTGTTATGACAGAAAAAAAAAAGTTTCTGGCTGGTCATATCCTCTGTAATCTGGCAGGAAACCTAAAATGTGCCTGCCACAGTCATGGGCTGTTTGCTTATCTGCTTCCTTGGGAAGAATGTGTATCACAGTGTCCGGTTTAGGGGGATTTTCACCATGATCTCACCCTCTCCACCACTCACTGATCTCAGAGGGCATTACCCAAGACATAAACACAGTTCGGTTGGGAATCCATGTGAGCCTTTCCTATAGCACATCACAGACAAACATCAATTCCAATAATTGCTCCTCAAACCAGGTCAGGTATCAATGCTCAGAATTGCTGGAGAGAGGTGTTGATCCCTACCTAAGGACATCTCATTATTCCAGACTTAGGAGGGTACAGAATACCAAGAGGGTTTCTGTAATTAAATGCAGCAGCAAGGAGCAATTCACAAGCCTTATAATCCCAGCAATTGAGAAGGAGGCTGCAGCAAAGTTGCCAGGAGGTCAAGGCCAGCTTGGGCTAGAGTGAGACCCTGTCTCAGGAAAAAACAAAAATAAAAGCAAAAGCTAATGGAGAGGGAGGG